GCGAGGCTTGCGAGGTTATGAATGAGACAGATCCTTGTTGGAGTTCACATCAGTTTCTGTAAAATCGATCCTTCATGGTTTCAAGATGTTCGTTTCCCTCGCCTTGATTACAGCAGCGCTGGCCGTGGTGTCAGCTGCACCAGGTCGAAACAGACATGAATCGCACAGCCACCAAAAGATCGCAGAAGACGACTTTGTCCAAGTCGATGGTCTTCGTTTCAAAGATGCAGCGGGAAGCGTTTATCTAACGGGTCTAAACTACTGGAGCTGCCTCAATCTGGCAGCCGACGAGTCTGCAGGGGGGAACCATTCTCGTTTGATCCTAGAACTGGACGACATGGCCAGCAAGGGCGTCAATCATCTTCGCATCATGGCCGCCTCTGAAGGCGCTCCCACCTGGCAACCATTCCGTATGCACCCTGCCTTGATGTCCTCGCCGGGCACATACAACGAAGACATCTTCGTAGGACTCGACCGGTGCCTTGCCGAGATGTCGAAGCGCGGCATGCGGGCGACCATGACGCTGAACAACGAATGGCAATGGTCTGGCGGTTTCGCTCAGTACGTGTCGTGGGCAAATGACGATAGCGAGATTCCGTACCCAGCTTCCTGGAACCTAACCGCACCTCCTCAGCGTGAGGTTCTCGGTACAGGTTGGGGCAACTACACCGTCGAAGGCGTAGACGCCGCCTCATACAACAACTTCACCGAGTACGCCAATCGATTTTACACCACTTCCAAGGCTCAGGAATGGTACCGCGATCACATCGACACAGTACTCAACCGAGTAAACACCGTCAACGGACGACAGTACAAAAACGACGCAACGATCATGACATGGCAACTAGCCAACGAACCCCAAAACGCCATCGTTCCGGACGAATACCTCGGAGCCTACAGTCTCGAACTCCCACCAGCACCCGACGACCCTCTGTTCGCATGGATCGAATCCACATCAGCTTACATCAAAGCCGCGGCCCCCAAACAGCTGGTGAACGTCGGGTTCGAAAGCAAGCAGGGCAAATGGTACTACCAGAAAGCCCACAACTACAGCTCGATCGACTACGGCACCACGCACTGCTGGGTGCAGAACTGGGGGATATACGAAATGATGAATTCGAGCCGGGAGAATCTCGAAGCCGCCAAAGACTTTGCGGAGGCTTTCATTGCGAACTCGTCACAGTGGTCGGCCAAGATCGGCAAGCCGATTTTCCTCGAGGAGTTCGGGATGGCTAGAAACAACTGGGAGAATGTTGATAAGGAATACACTTACCTGAGCTCTGCTGGGACTAGCAACAAGGACGAGTACTTCGAGGTGAGCATCCTTTCCATCCGAATCTGATGAAGTGTTGTCGTTTATTGTACTAACAACCCGCTCCCAAAGACCATCATTGGCGCCGCCATGAAGGAGTTCAAAGACCCCAAGGGTGCTTACACCGGCTCCTGCCCTTGGGCGTACGGCGGCATCTATCGGCCGGAAACCCAGCACGCAAATCAATTCGGCGACGTATGGGCCGGAGACCCTCCGCACGAGAGTCCAGGCTGGTATGACCTGTACAATACCGATGAGGCGATGAACATCGTGCACCGCCAGCAGCTTGAGATTGCTTCTTTCATCCGTGAGAACGTGGACGAAGAAAGTGGCTGCGAATCGTGAAAGAATGGGTCTGAGACGTTATTGTCAGAAGCAGCTAATGTGAAATGGTTGCAAGGAGTGCCTTTCTTGCCTCGCAGATGCTGTTTGAGGGGGGGGGGGGGGGGGGGGGGGGGGGGGGGTGCGGCGGAGGTAGCACGGGCCGTGTGTCGTGTCGTCGGCGGGTGGGGGAGTGGGGCGCTTTG